TGTGGCAGGCTGACCTTCCAGACTGGGATGTTAATGTGGTCCTTCACTGCCTCACTTTGCCTCCGTTCTAACCACTTTCCACATGCTCCTTGTTTCACCTTTCCCTTAAGACTTATTTCCTTCTCCTCTTAGCCTGTGGATGTTGGTGGTCTGATTTATTTGCCATCAGTGTTTCACATACTCTTTATCATCATATTCTCCTTTATCCAGATCGTTTTTTCCTCCCCAAAACTTTCACGGCTAGGGAGTGTAACTCCTCCTTTTTTGCTGATTTCCCTTCCTTCCATTTCCCACCTTTAACCTTGGCCTGATCTGGATAGACTTGTATGTCCTATACGTGCTATTCACTGTTATATGGCCTCCTTCTGTGGTGCCCATTCCCACCTCTTTTATACCTTGGCAACCATCCTCTATTCAGTTGAGTTCAGCTTTTGATTAGATTGGCCTATTCCTCTCTATTGTCTTCCTCCCATTCTTTGTTCCAGGTGTCTTCTCATCAAATTCGACATCTTACCTTTTCTCTGTTATTTCATCTTTGTCATCAGTTGGTTCCGGTCAGTTTCACTTTTGAGGGAGTTGAGTTATGTTATGCAGACGTCTTTTCAATACCAGATGTCAGATTCCCAGATTGATATATTAATTTATCTTATTCACATGTACCCTGTTCAGGAGTCGGAGTGGTTCTAGATTCCCTCTGGTCTTGAACTTGAGGTGAAGACAGTATGATCCTCTTTCCTACCCCCACATTGTTGTCGGTACCCAGCAGCTGGGTTTTGGATTGTAGTTGACTTACCAATGGTATGATCCTCATTTTACCCCTGTGTGGATCTCAGTTCCCAGTGGCATGAGTTTTGGATGTAGTTGACTTCCAGGTACGGTCCATCGCACCCTAGCTACTCTACACCTAGGAGCACATCCATTACTTTTACCCACTTTTATATTTTATGGGATTGAGTTTCATAAATATTGCATGGTTCAGATCACTATTCAGCCATAGTTCTCTCCCATTTGGAGGTGCTCCTCTGCTTTTCTGTCCATATATGTGATAACTTTCTTGAATGGGCGAAGAGTATACCTGTTTCAGAAGTGGTGCGGTCTCCCACATCAGATCTCTCTCATCTCAAGGAGTTTCCTTCAGACATTTTTGAAGGATGCTTCTTTCATTCCCTCCCACTAGTCCCTCCATCTATTCAGTATGGGATTCTAACTATTTATGTGAGAGGTGGTAATGTATTGTATCGCAAGTTATAATCTTCTTATACTGAAAATTTCAGATAGGTACTTACCTCCGCTCATACTTCGCAATTTTCCTCTCCATTGAACACTGCTGATTCCTATTTTTTCCAAAGCTCAAAGTGATAGTTAAATAGAATTGAGGGAGTCACATGTAATGAGTGTGTGTTGCACTTTTCTTATTGGTGGAGGATTGTCACATGATGATTTGCATGAGAGATGCATTGAAATTGGTCAATTCCAATGGAGGGAAGGTAAAAGGCTTGTGGCATGTATAAAAATAATTTTTGAATATAGAGGGCAACACTGAACAAGTACAAGCAGAGTCAAGTGACTTCTGTGGTTTTTCTCCATATTTTGACCTCTGTCACTATTATTACAGGAAAGAATGAGATACATGTTTTTCAGTCTGATTGTTGGCTTTCACATGACTAGTTTTTATTTCATCTTTTTCTTGGCACAGTTGGAAATAACCAGATTATGATACTGTTGCGTATCTGCTTGTTTGATAATTTCCTGTAAAAATTCTTTCCGAGTGACTTCAGCGATACAAGTCCCTTCTTGATTAAAATTAGTTTATTCTTTCTCGATACAAACTTTGTAATACACTTAATTTTCACAGTCACTTTAAACTTAACAACCTTTTTAACACATGCTATAAATCACAGTGATTCACACACTTTACTCATGGTGCTTACTGTTCACTTGACTCAATTATCTATCTATCTTTTCGATCTATCTGCCTATGTATCATGCTGGTGTTACTCACCAGGCTTATATATTAAAGAAGTGGGCATCTAGCAAACACTGGGACATTCATAAGGTTCCTCAATAAGTCATGATCCTTCTAGAAACTCCAGCACGCATGCTCCCAGCATCGCGTGACTTCCACTGTCGTAACAATACTTTTGAAGGAATTGGTAAACTGGGACAGGCTCTTATATTATTTTCAATTTCCAGCCGTGTTTTCCATTAGTCTGTTACGAGCAGTTGGTAGCCATATTTTTCTTAGTGGCAAAAGTGTTCCTTTTTAGTTGATAGATGGTCAAATACTGTCAATTGCCAGGTTAACCCTATCACCATGGGCATCCCTTACTGCTCGTGTCAGGAGAGTTTAGTGACTTACATTCAAAATTTTATTAAACTATTTGTTTATGCTATACTAATTGGTACCTAATATTATACATTTTAATAATATATAATTCTTAATTTTATAAGGCAATATTTAAAAAATCTTGAATTTCCCCAAGTGTGAAAAATATGACACATTTTCTCTAGGCATCTCCTCTTCTCTATTTTATTCAACACCCCTCCAATAAGTATAAAATTCAATGTAAATTATTCACCATCAAATTGTCATTGCTCAGACAAACCGTAATTTTTATTACCTTCATTTTTTTGGTTACAGAGCCATCAAATAGAAAATCAGACCTCTCTTGCCACACCCACCTGTCACATCCTC